CTTCCCAACTAAACTTTAAATTCCAGAGGGGAAAATTATTTATTTTATTTGTGTGTATGTATCCTTAGACCCCACCACCCATCAGTTTGCCCTACGGTGGCAGCTTCTGTGTTGCTATGATGCTGGAAGCTATGCCACTGGTATTTCAGATACCAGCAGAGTCATGCATGGTGGACAGGTTCAGTAGAGCTTCCAGACTAAGACAGGCTAGCAAGAAAGGCCTGGTGATCTACTCCAGAAACTAGCCAATGAAAACCCTGTGGATCACGATGGAACATTGTCCCCTATAGTGCTGGAAGATGAGCCCTCTAGGTTGGACAAAGTCACTCCACAGTGGACTCAGACATGCCAACAATCATGAAGATGGTGCAGGGCTGGGCAGCATTTTTCGTTCTGTTGTACATAGGGTTGCCATGAGTTGGAGCTGACTCAGTGGCAACTAACAGCAACAATCCTTAGAACGTCTTCCACGTAGTTGAACCAGTTGCTGTTGGGTCAGTGCCAACTCACGGCAACCCAGTATGTGTCAGAGTAGAACTGTACTCCAGAGGATTTTCAGTGGGTGATTTTTCAGAAGTAGATTACCAGGCCTTTCTTCTGATGATTCAGAAGAATGAATCTGGGCGGATTCAAAGCACCAGTCTTCCGGTTAGCAGCCAAGTGCTTTAACCATGTGCACCACCCAAGGACTCCTAGTACAGAGTATGATCTCAGGAAATCTGTGCCGATTCGTTTTAGTGACCAGTGTGTGAGCGAGTACCAGCCAACAAAGCACTGCAGAGGCCCGACTGGCCAGTGGGAGTGGCTTTGTTTGAAATACGTGGTTTTAGGATATGTACTTTTATTAGACACACTTATCCTAAAACCATGTGTTTTAAACAAAAATCAGTAAAGTAGGAGGAAGCACCCAGGTCCACATGGAAGAGAAAAACGGAGGCGTAGAGATGCTGTTGGTCACCGCCAGGTGAGTGAGGTTTAAAAAGGGCCCTGCCTGGCTGATGGCATTGGCTACATTTTCCCGTTGCAACTGAAGGTCTTGGGCTTTCTCTCAGCACATTTTTTAAATCTCCTACTGTGTGCTGGTTCTTGTCAGGTGGTGAATGAGGGAGAATTTTCAAGGGTTAAAGTGGTCATCATCACAGATCACGAACTCTTGACTACAGTGGAGAGCCTTAATCACTAAAGCTACCAGAACGCTTGCCGTTGAGTCAATTCCAACTCACAGTGACCCTGTAGGACAGGGTAGAACTGCCCCATAGGGTTTCCAAGGCTGTAAATCTTTACAGAAGCAGACTGCCACATCTCTCCCGCAGAGCGGCTGGTGGGTTTTTGAACCGCCAACCTTTCAGTTAGCAGCTGAGCACTTAACCACTGGACCACCAGAGCTCCTTACTAAGCTACTAGAACTCATTTTTTAAAAACTGATACCTCTTAGGCAGTTGCTAAGAAGCTAAAGATTTTTACCAAGCAGTCATGTTGACTGAACTCTTTGTTTTTTATGATGTTAAGGTAAGACGGTTGTCTTTAATACACTTTTTTCTACTTCTGAGAACATGCCAGTTACGAGGCTGAAATGTTGAACTACCTACCTTTTTAAAAAATTTTATTACAACTAAAATATAATTCATTTGTTAATTAAGAGGACGCTGGAGATTTGGCCGTGAGAAATTCTGACTTTTGTAAGTGGCTGTTTAAAAGTACAGGCAGTGGTCCCACGTTTAACTTTTTTGTGTGGCCAAATTTCTAACATACAGCTTGAGAGGATAGATTCTGCATGCTTTAACTGATTTATTCCCAAATTCAAAATTTCACACTGAGTTCGCTCAAGATACTGCACAGTGAGTACAGTTTTATATGATTGCAGCGTACAGTATGCACCAAAAAAACCAAAAAACAAAAAAAACCTGTTACTGTGGAGTCGATTCTGACTCATCAACCCTACAGGACAGAGTAGAACTGCCCCACAGGGTTTCCAAGGAGTGGCTGGTAGATTCAAACTGCCAACCTTTTGGTTAGCAGCCAAGCTCTTAACCACCGCGCTACCAGGGCTCCACAGTATGCATAGGTTTTTTTTTTTTTTTTTTCAAATGTGCAATTATTATATTTCTAATTACTCTGGCTGGGTGGAAAAAGAAAGGTCTCATTCGTATAACAACAGCCAAGTATTTAGCTGGAAATTACAGCCAGAAGTTCATTTTAGATAGTTCAGACTTCAGAAGTAACATTTCTTTCCAAGGAGTTCTAAAGATTCTTGGTTTTGTTGTTGGTTCTAACCACAATTCTTTATATTTTAATTAGCCCAATAAAATGTGTAATTTAACGAATATCTGGAAATGATTGGTGCAGTTTCTTTCCTTTGTGCTCATGTATCTCTCATTGAAGAAAGTCAGTATTCACAGTGCTTATAAAAGGAGTCTGTGCAATAGACTTATGTTCTGTCGAATATTTGGATTAATATTCTTAAGCATTTCTAGAGACCTTTGCATTCAATTACTTTTTATTTCTTGTAATACCCCCTGGAGAAAGATTACCCAATTTCATTTTCCTTCTGAGATAAACTTGCTTGAAAAGTTAAATTTTCATTAAAATATCCAATTTGGCTTTCTTAAAAAAAAACGAATTTTTTTTTTTTTACATTTTAAATAGTCTTAAGGCCCTTGAGTTGCAGAATGACTAATTAGTACCGTAATAATGTATCATTCTCTTTTATTAATATGAAAATTATAGTGTCCTCAAGGGTCCTCAGTTTGATTTGTGCACTTTGATGCCAATGTAGAAAGTTTGATTTCTCGCTAACATAGTTTCTCCTCTGTGGCTGGGAGTGATGCATAGTGAAGACTGGGGTGGGACCAATGGGCTCTGCGTGGATTTGCGGAGGAATTAAATTCGTCTTCCCGTGAGACCAAGAATCTATGTTAAAGCGTTGGAAGAGTTGTTTTATGTGCCAGGCACTATGCTGCATGCGGTAGTTGCATTACTTCCTTTATTCTCCCTAATCCTCTGGGATAATATCCCCGTTTCTAATTCTGTGAAAATTGGAAATCTAAATACGGATGAGGAGTGATTTTTGAATGAGAACACCCGTTCCCTGACCATGCCACGCACAAGTTTGCTCAGAAGCAGAGTTGCTGGGTAGAAAGCGAAGGTTAAATGCGGTCCCTTCTTTCTTATGGACTTGCATTTTGAAATAGACAGGAGAGTACAAAAAGCCTACTGAATGCACCCAGTCGTACTGTTTAACACTCAAATCGATTTTTAAAAACGCCTTATAATTTAGATAGTAGTCCTCTTATAGTAACTGGTTGGGTTTGATATGTTTCATACTCACCTACTTGATTTCTTTATTCATAATTTTTAACATCAGAACATGGCTTTATTCAAAACCAATTAGAGGCCTCCACTCTTTTTTTTTTTTTATTACTGTAAAAAATACAGATTCTGCTCCTGTCCTTTAATAGGTCACACCTGTGAAATCATTCAGTGTCCGTGACTCCAGGTTATCGGTGTGCCCCCCAAAAGCATTACAGAGAAACAGAAGGGTTAGCCTCCTGAGTCTAGAGTTGAGACACTGAGATGCTTGAGTTGAGAATTACGTTAAGAAGGACATCAGGAGATGACCTGAAAGGAAAATTGTTCCACCAGGGGAAATACTACTCCCATTGGAAGATGTTTGTGATATTCCTTCAGTTCCACGTTCACACGGTTCTCGGAGGGAAATGGGTCATTTAAAAGAAGAAATGACTGAGGCCAAAAATAAAGATTTCTTGAGACCAGATGAGAGTTTAACCGTGACAGAAACGCAGTCCTGACCGTTCACTCACTAGAGTACACTAGAATATAAGTAAGCAGAATTTTCGGTCATATAAAATAGTCTCTGCAAAACAAGGTCGTTCACTGCCTTTTGGGGTAGATACTAAAACAACCATCAATAGTACAGCCGTTCTGTGAATATGAAGGAGCAGTTTAAAATAACATGGAAGTCTAAGGCTTTCTGATCTGGAAGGATCTGACTGAAAGGAAGGTGCAGAATAGTATGTATTGCATGGTCTCGATTATGTATAGATGCATGAATATGTATAGTTGTAGGTGTATGCTTGCGTAGAAGAACTGGAAAGAAACTTGTGAAAATGTCTACATTTGCAGAAGGGAGTGGAAATTGGAGAGGAAAGGATTTTTGTGGTTTGTATATGTTTCTGTCTTTAAATTTACACACACACTTCAGAAAACTATGTAAACAGAGAAACCATAGATCTGAGGTCTCAGTATAGCTATATGGGGCCCTGGTGGCACAGAGGTTAAGAGCTTGGCTGCTAACCCAAAGGTCGGCAGTTGGAATCCACCAGCCACTCCTTGGAAGCCCTATGGGACAGTTCTACTCTGTCCTGTAGGGTCTCTGTGAGTCGGAATCACCTCGACGGCAATGGGTTGGTTGGTTTGTTTTTTGGTTTATAGCTGTATAGTGAGTGGTTAACAGCATAGACGCTGGAGTAAACACTGCCAGGGGTTGGACCCCAGCTCCCCTACTTACTGTGTGTACATTCTTCGGTGCCTCAGTTTACTCAAATGGAAAATAGAGGTAATGGAACTTAGGTCATATAGTTGTTAGGAGAATTAAGTAATATATGGAAGAGTGTATAGACCAGCACCCAACACAGAGTAAACATTCAGTATATATTACTTATTACAAATTATAATACTTAGCAGCTGGCTATAATCAATACTCTGTGTAAACTTCTCAGTTAGAAATATTTCCAGTGACAGCTTTAGCAATCACAGTGCATTTTCTCCAAGTTTCATTGTAGTTGTTAATATTTTCACATTTTTACCTCACTGGTATTCAGAATTTCAAAAGGATCAATAATAAAAACCAACAGAATTATCTTGTTTTATGGAGTATGCTATACATTCAGCTTCTTTGACCATGTAATCTGATGTGTACATCATTATTCAACTATAGAAATGTAAGCTGTAAATTAATGAGGTGTTTCTTTCTTTCTTAGGAAGACTATGATCGTCTGAGGCCTTTATCTTATCCTATGACCGACGTCTTCCTTATATGCTTCTCTGTGGTAAATCCAGCCTCATTTCAAAACGTGAAGGAGGAGTGGGTGCCAGAACTTAAAGAATACGCACCAAATGTACCCTTTTTATTAATAGGAACTCAGGTACGTCGTCTTTGCTTTCCCCCATTTAAGGAGAATCTCTGTGGTCTATTTTAGGGGGGAGGGAAAGCTTTCAGACACAGGACCCTAAAATTTAGCAAATAATACAAGTATCTCAGTTGACTACTAGCTGGAAGGTTGGAGGTTCGAACCCACGCAGAGGCGCATAGGAAGACAGACCTGGTGGTCTGCTTCCCAAAGGTCACAGCCTCGAAAACCCTGTGGAGCAGTTCTACTCTGCACACGTGGAGTTGCCATGAGTTGGAATCGACTGGACAGCAACTTACAACAACAGCAACGTAGTAGTTTTGGAAAAAATAGTCCTGAAAGAAAGCAACTATATTAGTTGATTTAAAAAATTAAGTTTTCTTTTTTAATCTTTTTTTTTTTTTTTTTTTTTTTTTTTAATATGTGGGGATTAAATGGGACTGTGTGCTTTGATTTATCTTTAAAGGCTTGTAATATTTTGGGACGTTATTGACCTTTCTTAATTAGATTGATCTCCGAGATGACCCCAAAACTTTAGCAAGACTGAATGATATGAAAGAAAAACCTATATGTGTGGAACAAGGACAGAAACTAGCAAAAGAGGTAAATGGAACATCTACAGAATTTAGAAATAAATGTAAAAGGCGTTAAGATAGTGATAGAAGCTTAACATTTATTGTGTATTTACTGTATGCCAGGCCCTGTGCCGTGTGCTTTATACACATTGCCTCGTTTAATCCTTGCACCGACTGTGAGGTCTATTTCCCCCAGTTTCCAGAATGGGAAGGGAAGTAACTTGCCCAGGGTCCCACAGGTAATAAATGGCAGAGCTGGATTTCAGGGCAAGGCCTGACTCTCCAGCTCTGACTCTTACACACCTGTGCTAGACTGCTGGCTTCGTTTCCTCGTACTGCTGTGACACAAGCACTACGTGTGGGTGGCGTTAAAGAGCAGAAATTTGTTTTTTCACAGTTCTGGAGGCCAAAGGAGCCCTGGTGGCCCAGTGGTTAAGAGCTCGGCTGCTAACCAAAAGGTCGGCAGTTCGAATCCACCAGCCGCTCCTTGGGAACCCTATGGAGCAGTTCTCCTCTGTCCTATAGGGTTGCAGTGAGTTGGAATTGACTCAACAGCAATGGGTTTTGTTGGTTTTTTGGAGGCTAGAAGTCCAAATCAGGGTTGGTATTCTGGGTGTTCCTTGATTCCGTGGCGATCCTCACGTGGCATAAGTCTTCCCGTGTGTTTGTGTCTGTCTGGGTCTAATCTGCTTTTTTTTTTTTTTTAATAACTCAGAAGTGATTAGATTTAGTTCCTACCCTGTGATCTAAATAACATAACAGAGAATCCTATCTTTAAGCAGGATTACATCCACAAGTATAGCACATATTGGGGGGACACAATTCAATCCACAACAACTGCCAATATTTTTCTAAAAAGTTATGTAGAGAAAGAGGCATCAGAAAACAGTGCTGATACTTTAAGCCTTTCTTAATCACAGAAACATTTGCACTGTGCCAAACGAATCGGGCTTTGTCTTCAGTTAAGACTCATGGAGTTAAGAAGTGGAATGACAGAACATGCCAGTTTAAATCTGTGTTTGAAAATGAAGAATTATGGCTAGGTTTAAAAGAAATGTGTTCAATTTTCTCCCAGTCCCTTTATGAAAGGAGGATAGAAAATATTAGCAATCTGAATAATAGCATTCACTATAGCAGTGATCTGTAAAATGCTTTTACATTTATATTCCCCCTTGCCCCAAAGCTAGCTTGACCTGTTTGCTTTTTTCTCCATTTGGCCTTAACATTATTGGATTCTGTGTTTTAAATGCTGTGACTCTAATAGGAGTTTTGTGGAAACAGAATCTGATGCGGTCTTTTTCAGCGTACTATCAGAAGGCAGAAGAGAAACAAGAAAAAGTTTTGGAGGACAGTTTTTCCTAAAGCAAAAAATAAATGGCTTCACAAACAAACCACTTTAGGAATTCCATTATGTTCAAATTTGTAATCTTGGGGGGAGGACTTTCTAAACATGTCATAAAGGTAAAAGTCATAAACGAAAATATTGATGATTTAACTGCAGAGTAGTTTAGTACCCCCTCACGTGCCTCAAATAAAACCAAAAGTCAAATGACGAACTTGACATGTATGGCAGAAACTATCCTTAGCCTACAGGAACCTCTTGGAAATGAGCTAATCAGAAAAAGACGTACCCCAATAGAAAAATGGGCTAAGAACACCAATGGAAAAGTCACTCCCCCCCAAAAAAATCAAATTGCCATAGAAGACAGAAAATATGTCTGGAGTCTTTAGTAGTCAGCTATAAGTTCAGTTTTTTCACCTATAAAATTGGTAAACAATGAGAAATTGATTATAATACCCACTGTTAGCCAGGGTACCGGGGAATGGGCGCTCTATTGGACTGTGGGTGGTTGAGTAAAAGCAGTCTTGATGGGCATTTTGGCAATATGCAAAATCCTTAAAATCATACACACTTTTTGATCAAGCAGTTCCACATGTAGACATTTTCTAAGACAATTACTTGAGATGCGCTTAAAGAGATGGCTGCAAGGCTGCTACACTGTTAATAATGGCGGAAAAATCTCCACATCTGTTATATACTGATCTATCTATTGGGATGTTCATATTTATTATGTAGTTTGAAAACGGAAGTTGATTGCGAGGCAGAGTGGTCCCGTTTCTAGACCCGTCAGCAACTTGTGGTGCAGCCAGTTCCTTCTCAAAACACTTTTCCTCACTTCACTTCCGTGCACACCCTCTCTGGTTTTCCTCCCCTTTCATTGCCTCTCCTCCACCTCCTCGTCTCCCCAAATGTCTCTGAATGTTTGTTGGAGGGCTTAAGGGATCAGTACTGAGCTACTTGGATGTCTTTTCTTCTGTATCCACACTCACTCCCTAGACCTATATGAGCTCCATCAGTCTTGTGGCTTGTATGGTCTACCACTGAAGACTCTTGAATTTCTGTCTCTAGCCCAGGCCTCTGCCCTAAACTCTAGACTTGGTTATACAACTGTTGACTCAACAAGTCCATCTGGGTGGCTAAGCATCTCAAAATTAACATGTCCAAAACAGAATTCCTAATTCTTTTCTCCAAGCCTATACGCCCAGTTAACCCGTTGCCGTCGAGTTGCTTCCGACTTATAACGACCCTATAGGACAGAGCAGAACTGCCCCACAGGATTTTCAGGGAGTGGCTGGTGGATTGGAACTGCTGACCTTTTGGTTAGCAGCCAAGCTCTTAACCACTGCGCCACCTGGGTTCCAACTCAGGTCAAAAACCTTGAAGTCATGTTTGACCTCCTTCTTTCTTTCATACCATACATCCAGTCCCTTAGAAAAATACAGTGCTCTACCTTGAGAATGTATCTAGCATCCAAATACTTGTCACTACACCCTCTTCTGTCACTGTGGTCCAGGGCCCCTCCATCTCTGGCCCAGTTACTGGAACAGCTTCTAACTCATCTCTCTGCTTGTGTGTGTCCCACAGAAATCTGTTCTCAACACAGCAGCCAGAGTGAGTCCTTAACATGTGTCTTAGTCATCTAGTGCTGCTACAACAAAAATACCACAAGTGGATGGCTTTAACAGAGAGATTTATTTCTTCACAGTGAAGTACGCTAAAAGTCCAAATTCAGGGCATCAGCTCCAGGGGAAACCTTTCTCTCTCTGTCGGCCTTCTCATCAGTGTTCCCCTGGACTAGGAGCTTCTCTGCACAGGGATCCCGGGTCCAAAGGACACGCTCTGCTCCTGGCACTGCTTTCTTGGTGGTATGAGGTCCCCAACTCTCTGCTTGCTTCCCTTTCATCTCTTGAGAGATAAAAGGTGGTGCAGACCACACCCCAGGGAAACTCCCTTTACATTCAATCAGGGATGTGACCTGGGTAAGGGTGGTGTTACAATCCCACTCTAATCTTCTTTAACGTAAAATTACAATCACAAAATGAAGGCCAACCACACAATTCTGGGAATCATGGCCCACCCAAATTGATACACACATTTTTTCGGGGGCATAATTCAAACCATGACAACATGTAAGCTCAATCAGGTCACTCGGCTCTGCTCAGGATCCTCCAGTGGCTCCCAGCTCACTCAGAAGAGCTGAGTCCTCACCATGACCGATAGGCCCTACATGATCTGGCTCCTGACACCTAGTCTCGCCTCACTCATTGTACTTTAGCTGCACTGGCCTCCTTGCTGTTCCGCCAAACTCTTGTACCCCAGGGTCTTTGTACTTTTGCTGCTCCCTCTGCCTGGAATATTTTTCCCTATGTTGACATTATTCATTTCAGGTTTCTGCTCAAATATCACTTTCTTGATGAGATCCTGCCTGATCTTGGCCTGACTCCCTAACAGTATCCCCCTAGCCAAATTTTTCTCCAGACTACGTATTACCTTCTGACACTCTACCTACTTACCTGCCTGCCTATCTATTCTTATTAGTTCATGGTGGGTCTTCTCCTTCTAAAGTGTAAGCTTATTGAGGGTAGGTAGAGACTTAGTTTTGCTCCCTGTATTCTCACATCTGGCTAGGTCCATTCTCGGAGTACAAGCCAAAGTCCTTGTAATGACCTTGAGGCTTCTCCACTGACGTCCTCTTGCCATTCCCCTCAGTCTCTCCTGCCACTCCAGCTTCCTGTTGCTTGAATGTCCCACGCATACTCCTGCATGAGGGTCTCTGCATTTGTGGTTGTCTGCCTGGAAACTCTTTATCTAGGCATCCCTCATTGCTCAACCTTCATCTCGTTTAAAAGCCTTCCTCGACAAGCACTACCCTCATCCTCACCACTCCCTTCTCTCACTCGTTTCTTCTTCTCCATAGCATTTACCACTGTGTTACATATTCCCTCGTTTGTATGTCTCTCCCCCAGTAGAATGTAAGCTCCACACAGCAAAGACTTTGCTCTTTTGTTCACTGACATATCCTCAGCAGCTAAAACAGTGCTTGGCATGAGGTAGGTACCCAAGAAATATTTGACAAATAAAAGAATTTTTGATAGAAACAATCTGGAAGGGTATACACGAGTATTTTAACAGTTAGCTATCTCTGGACATTATGAATTTGGATGATGCCTTTCTTCTTTTTTGCATAATTTTTGTATATTTGTACACAGATTTATACTATTCGTATAATTTTCCTATAATGGTATGTTTGTATCATATTGGTTGTATAAAGATTTTTATATATTTGTGATTTTCTTCTTCTTCCCAGATAGGAGCATGCTGCTACGTGGAATGTTCAGCTTTAACCCAGAAGGGATTGAAGACTGTTTTTGATGAGGCTATCATAGCCATTTTAACTCCAAAGAAACACACAGTAAAAAAACGAATTGGATCAAGATGTATAAACTGTTGTCTGATTACGTGAGAAGTGTCTACAGTGGCCAAGGAAACTGTCTCTTTCTCTCAGAAAGAATACGAAATGCTACAGCTATACGCAGACCTTTTATAGATAATGAAGCAGTTTAAAACTTGAAAAAAAAAAAAAATCCGCCCTCAGAATTCTACAGAGTTCATTAAGAATGTTCAAGGTCCAAGAAGCAGCAAATAGCATCTGAAGCCACAATCTATTGTAAATACTTTATTTCAATAGAAGGTACAATCTCTCAGGGGTTTCATAGTTTAAAAAGCTACAATCACATCATGTTGTATCTACATAAAAAAACAAATAATAATAACCACGCTGTACATGGAACTGCTTGGCTCTGACCATAGACGTTTCTGCACAGTCTTTACGGAATCTGCACAAAGAAATAGCTTCTCCTTTTGCCCCAATTAATTGTTCTTGTATGTAAGTCGCTTTCTATTCCAGTATATCCAGAGTGGTGAAACAGCAAGGCCAGCCACATAGCCAAAGGTCGCTCCAAGCGTACAGGAGATGGGCCATACCTGAGGAGGGAATGTATGAGATCCAAAAGAATAAACGTTTTATGATTACTTGAGCACAAGTTAAGTGTAACCTAAATATTCCTATATTAAAACGTAACGTGCTTTCTTAAAGAATGCCAGAAGTGTAATAAGGTCATAACTGCATTTCCCGTAAACTCTACAACTGTCCACATTTTAGTAAATGTGTGTTAGATTGTAACAAGGCTTCTGGCAACTGTAGGTTTAGTTTGATGCTCCCCAAACTGCATGAGATACATGCTGAAATGGCAGATGAACATTTCGGGTCAGACTTTGCCATAACCATGGACTCAGTTTAGCTCTCAGGACTAGCTCGTATTTTTTTTTTTTTTCTTTTTTTAAATTTCCACATTGGCTGTGTACATCAAATGATACGAGAAGTGTGTGTACTGACCAAACCACAAGAAACCGTCTTTAAACTGTGTTTAAGAGAAAAGACCTAGAACTCAAGCATGTTACATGGAATTTACAGCAGAGCAGCTGCTTCCATAATAAAACTGATGACACCTTTCAGATATAAATATTAGAAATCTAACAGAAGCTATAGAGCTATTCTAGATTGGAAATTAAGCAAAATACTAACTTCCAAAAAGCCCTTTCTGCAGCCACGTAACAATTTACAATATTCCATCAAGCCAGAATAAATAATGTTGATTTATTTCTTCCACAAGCAGTGCATGTTGATCCCTAGGTGAAAGGCTCTGCTTAAAAAAACATCAGAGACAAAATTTCCCTGTTCATTCGTGAAGCTTATTTGGTATCATAATTAAGCGTTCTTGGGTCTCCTATGGCTCTGCCTTATTCCAAATGCCATGCAGCAGACCAGAGTCTTAGACAAAGTGTGAACAAATGAATGCAGTTTGATTGATAGAGAAGCATAATCAACCCATCCTTTCCCCCGCCAGTCTTTTGTGCATTTCAACTTGCTGTTGCCTAAATTATGATTTCTTGTCTCTGTGGTGGGCTTCTGTTAATTTCCATGGCTTGAGCTTACAGCTATTATCTATTGCACAGATTGGGTAATGGAACACTAAACTTTTATACTTGAAAATGACAGCCTTAAGTGCTCATAGCAGTCACAAAGCTAGAATGTACTGTCTTGCTGTATGTCAGCTTTGTAGAGATTTTTAAAAATACAAGCATCATCTTCCCCATTGAAGAATGGAGAGTCTACTGGATAACTAGCCAGAAGCCTTCTCGCTGAACAAGATGTTGGACGTCTTCTTTCTCCCAAGAAGTGGTAGTCCATGTTAAATCTCATGGCCTTACGTATGCTCAAATGGAATCTTATGTAACTTTCCCATTTAATTTCTGTTTTTAGATAGAATTGAAAGGAATTGTATAAATCAATTAGTATATTAGCTAAGTTGTCCAATACATGGTATAAAGGAAATAAGTAAGACAGTAAAGTATTACACATTTCTAACTTGCCTTTGGGGATTTGATGGAGATTTTTTTGTTCTTTGTCCTTCAAATTCACGTTTCTGAAACCCTTCACACTTGGTTTACTAGCCAATGAAAGTTTAGATTTGTCCTGCCCTAAGAGAAGTGGCCTAGGAATGTGCCGACAAGCTCTGGTGCCACCCGTGTCTTGACTGGGCCTCAGTTTCCTCATCTATGAGATATGGGAGGTAGAGCACATCATCTCTAACGTCCCTCCCCTTTATCAGCTCTAAAGATTCTCCTCTTTCTCATTAGCAATAATCAGTTTTGGACATTATTTTTCAGCTTCATGTTCTTTAGATGGTAAAAATTACGTGTATAGATCACTAGCACTCTAAGCAAAGATGATTGTACCATCCGAATCTGAGGTGCCTTAGGTACTCTGTTGACCTTGATGGGGTTTGGAGTTTCCCGTTGCTTTTTAAGAGCTTTTCCATTGCTTTGTTTCTTCAGTATTTCTTTTTGCAAAATTTTTCTTCCCACTTAAAAAACCAAAGATTTCTTTTCTATTCATAAGCAGGTTATAGAAAAATTGCCTTATTTTCAGAAATACTTCTTCATTAAAGGCTTAGGTTTCAGTAGAAATTCAGACTCATCACTGAAATGACTAGTTCAAACTAGTGAAAAATCTGGGAAAGAAAATACTTCAAAATACTTTATTGACATGAGTTTTGCTAGTGAATGCAAATACATTGCTTCAAGTAAGGTCATGTATGAGTGAACTTAAAAGAAATGTATACTTAGTCATTTTTTGCATATAGAGAATGAGTTCTAAAGTTCTAAAAAATACTTTTAGGGTCTTCCTGAAGTCTTACTTAATACTTTGCTAACTTATACCCTTTTTCTATCTCTAAATGTACATTTTAGGTTAGCCCATGTTGAGTTATCAAATTTCCATTAAGTGGAGCCTGAATTAATGGTTGTTATGAAGTATCTTAGTTATTTTAGAGACTGCTTCCCTTTGACTTTTAATTATTGATTTTAAATACCAAATTAAATACTGGTTTGTTGGTTGTTGCTTTTAAGTGATTGTTACTTTAACAGTGTCCCATCTTAACAGGTGGGGTTACAAATAAAATAATATGCATAGTTTACTGTTTATGTAAAGTATTACACTTCTTACCTTAGTAGTTTTTATTGAACACCCGTATGTAAATATTTGGGATAACGTTCCTCCCCGTTTCTCCTGGTGTAAGCACCTGCCCTCCGTTAAAGAGCACTGTCAATAGCGGAGGGAGAATAATTATCCCTCGTGCATCCCTGCCAAATTCCAACTTGGGTTACTAAATTCTATTTTAATCACGTTGTAAATTCAGTTTAGCTCCTTCCCACTCTTCCCCAAACACATACATACCACGTTCACACACATTCTTTAAACAGCTGCCATACTTCACCTCCGGTGAAATGGCAAAATTAAATGTTGGTCAAAACATTTTGTCTAATGAGGGGTTAAGGCTTAGAACACTTGCTTTTCAGTGTTATGGAAATCTCGAGAAATCCATGCCACCAGCAAATAAAAATGTTGGGCTGACTTCTAAAACTGTTTGCTAGTGACAGACCAGGCCTTGTACTTATAAGAATATCTGCTTGACTTTCCTGAAATAAGCAGTCATTGACTGTAACGTGGTCATTTATAAAAGAGAATTTCTTTATATGCGGGCAATGTTCTTGACTTTTGTAGACCAAGATAGGGAATGGCAAAAGGGGCAGCTGAAGGGAGTTGAGGGAAGCTGCCCAGTGATAATCACCCCTTGGAGTCCCTGAGTGGCACAAATGATTAAGTGCTTCACTAATAACGCAAAGCTTGGCAATTCAAATCCACCCAGAGCACCTCAAAGACAGGCCTGGCGATCTGCTTCCAAAAGGTCAGCTTTGAAAATGCTGTGGAGCACAGTTCTGCTCTGCACACATGGGGTCATCCTGTGTCAAAATCGACAGCAACTAGCAACAAGCAATTTCCTACTATCTTTTAATTGCTTAAAAAGTTTCACAGCTACACTATGGCAACAGAATTCACACTGATTTGTCAGACAATCCTAGCTTAATCATGTATTTTTATAATTATGTCAGAAAGTTTTCGATTTAAAACTATTTTTTTGTCTCACATACAGAGATGTTTCTAGATAACACATTTCTTCCTGCCACAAACAGGATTTTAAAAAATATGATTATCATCTGTTGAACAGACAATTCAGCTGCATCGCATAAACATTTCTCCAAATGATGGGATTCTGAGATGGCTATGTGTAATTATCTTGTTTTGTGTAAGGAAAATAGAAAACTTAGAACAAAGACATGCATGAAAAAGGAGTCACTCACAAGTGTTTGCCACCAAAATGACCGTCTTCTTCCTTTTTATCCAGTTTTGCATAAACTTAAATATTTATTTAAATTACTAAATAGAAGAAACAATCCATGTTGCGTAACAAAATAGATTACAATGCAAGTGCAAAATTATTAAGATGACCATTAAAAAGGAAAATTTATTTTTAAAAATAAATAGCTATATCGTGAAAAAAAAATCTTGCTTAGAGTATTACAATTAGTCTCCCCTTCCTCTAAATCAAGTAAGTCCTAGTTATGTATTTTTCATTGCTTAAACCAAAAGAGACCAGTGTTCTCTGAACCACTGTGTCACCAGGGTGCCATAAAATAATTATCATCAATATTAACAGAGGCCGTATATTACATAACAAAGGGTGTGGTACATGATATCAACAATAAGTTAGTTTTCTCTCAGAAATAAAACTTTCACCCTAATAAATTAAAAAGTCTTAATCAGATATAAACTTTGTATGCCTTATGTTATGCAAATCAGTATTACAGCTAGTTGAAAATTATACAAGCTTCCGGCCAAAGACCACATGACTGTGTTCTGATCACGTGTTCCTATTTACAGAGCTCTCTGGCGCTCTGTACATCTTAGGAAAGGAAAATATATCTACATAGTGCTTGACATTTTCTAAAGCAGTACAGACTCTGATTACGAACACTGGAGTTAGACAGGCTGGATTTGAGTCTTGGCTCTGCCGTTTATGAAATATGTGACCCTGAGCAAGTCCCCTTTTTGTGTCTTGCTTTTCTCATCTGCAAGACGAGGATCGTAATAAAATCACCTCTTGGTGTTGTTGTAATGATTAAATGTATCAGTCACATAGTACGAGTAACCAATTCATGTGAATTATAATTGATAGTAATTGTTTTGTTCATATTCCTAATAGGCGCACGTAAAATAAGTTGCATTACAGTCTAGAACTTCGTCCTCCACATATACAACCTCTAAAGCTGCTCCAGGAATCACTGGGTGATGCAAACAGTTACTATGCTCAGCTGCTAACTGAGAGGCTGGTGCTTTGAGTCCACCAAGAGATGACTCGAAAGAAAGGCCTGACAGTCTACTTCCCAAAAGTCAGTCATTGAAAACCTTATGTCACCCAGTTCTACTCTTACACACATGGGGTCGCCATGAGTTGGAATCGATTGGATGGCAACTGGTTTTTTAAAGCTGCTCCTACTTAAAAAAAAAAAGTATATATAGATAGATACACACACACACATATATATATCCTGCCCAAATTTTCTGTAAGTACTCAAAAAATATTAAAAAACAAAAAAACAAAACCATATCTAAACCAATTCATGTTTCCTCCTCATCAAACATGATCTTCAGATATACAGTGAAACCTGTGAGAGCGGGAACTTGATGGGGCTGCCTTATTTTTCTGGGTCTCGCAAGTTTTCTGCCTTGAACAGGGTACAGTCATACCACTATCTCGTTTTAGTGGAAAATATTTTAGTTTTCCTCCTCTGACAGGTTTCCGTCTTACACAGCTTCCAGCTTTTGCAAGTTTTATTGTACAAAATTTTGCATATAATTTCAGGGGTTAACAGACCCTGTGAAGCTCATCTTTGGACTCCTGGTTAAGAATTCCTGCACTCGCTATCACTGTGCAGTAACAAGCGTTTTTATTAACTATTTTAATTGGTCAAAGAGATAAAGCACCCCTTTGCATTTTGGGTTTTGGAATTTTAAGGATCATTTTCAATGATGTAGATGGCATTTGTTTGTTGTTATGTGATTTGAGAGTAAATATAAATACATTTTACTTGATTATAATATGCATACTATTCCTTAGGTTCCTTTAATATACATTAAGTGCAAATAGATTGTTAAACCTGTAATGTCATCAACATTATCTCCACAAGTTTTTGATATTTCACATGGTAGCTACTTTGGCATGTCAATCCTGACTATGGCAGTTCACAAGCTACGTGGGTTTCCTATAACCATGATCGTTTATTTGACATTAGATAATGATAATTTTTTAAAATTAGTTCAAAAAGTTTAAAAGTAATTATACTAAAATATTAACCTACTTTCTAAAATGCTTCATATTTTATTTGTGAGCTTTACTTAGCTTTCCTTGGAAGCAGCACGGGGCAGTGGAGTTACAATGATGTGAGTTGCTGAGCCAGTTCAATCAATGGTCATCTGACCTTGGCCAGGTCACTTAACATCTGAGTCTGTTTCCTAATCTGTAAAGCAGAGACAATAGTACCTATTGTACTTAAAAAACATAGGGTTGATGTATTAAATGCAGTAATATTTTGAAATGTGCCACGAAAGCTGTAAAGTACCACACACCACTATTATTTTGTATATTACACATTTTCACTTGCAAAAATTAAACTTGTAAGAACACCAAGTATTTCTCAGGTAACTGACACTGCTAGGTACTCGTCGGAACCAGCAGGAGAGAACAGATGAACAGTTCCCGAGCAACGATACACGGTGCTGTCGCTCGCACAGTGTCATCTGGAACACACATTGTTCTTCACAAGAAACATCGGGGGAGCATTCAGTTTAGAAAAGGAAAAGCTCAGCAGTTACACAACATACTGACATATTAGCCATCTGTAGTCTCACTTCAGAAGGAGAAGAGAAACTGCCTGATCGTAGCTGTCATTTTTCATAAAACTTAACAGTGCTAATTAACTTTAGATAAACAGAGGTAGACATTTATGTAATTTAAAAAGTCTGAAATGAATGATTCCATTCACCCATTTATTCCAAAAACTGTATTAGCGCTACTCTACACCAAGTAGTTAAGTTGCAAAATAAGATTAACGAATTTTGGACAAATTCTAATATCATAAATTCTTAAAATATGTGCCCAATATAATACAGAATATTACTTGTAATTTGCGAGGACATATATGCCATCATAGATATCATGGGGAAACTGACCTATCTACAGATCAGAATACCCAGAAACACTTAAAACAACCATTAGGATTACTGGCTCTCTCCAGATAAAGAAACCAAGATAAAACCCAGGGAGCTAGTTCTAAATTTCTCACAAGCTACTTTTTAACATGTTTGTTATTTTCTGATATGGGAACACACGGGCAGTTGAATCTACTGGATTGGCTAAATTTTTCTAGTTGTAAATCTACATTGGTCCAAGTATATTCTGACCCACTCCTCCTATGACTAAGAGCACAGATTGAGGAAGAGTTACTTGTGGAGAGGTGTGTAGTCTCCGATCCGGGGCTTCTGGTCAAAGCGACACTCAGTGGTCCTGGCCAGGATTCAGGCAAATGAGTGAAGCTGCCAGTGCTACTCGCTCTCACTTGAAAGGCCTGCTAGCAGAGCACTAGCAACGTGATTACCCCACAATGAAGCCACCTTTTAAATCTAAAACCATTTTCTCTGTGAATTAAGTGTTAAACACCTTTTTCTTTTTTGGGCCAGGCTTGAAATGCATAAATCATATTCATATAAATTAGTATTTTGTACACTGGTCTATCTAAAATGGTGTAATTGTTGTTGTTAGGTGCCGTTGAGTCAGTTCCAACTCATAGCGACCCTACGTACAACAGAACAGAACACTACTATCCTCACAATTGTTGCTATGCTTGAGCCCACTGTTGCAGCCACTGTGTCAATCCATCTTATTGAGGGTCTTCCTCTTTTTCCATAACCCTCTACTCTATCAAGCATGATGTCCTTCTCCAGGGACTGGCCCCTCCTGGTAACATGTTCTAAGTACATAAGATGAAGTCTTGCCATCCTTTGTTTCTAATGAGCATGCTGGCTGTACTTCTTCCAAAGACAGGTTTGTGTAATTAGCATAAGAAAATCCACTTAATGAAAAACATGTAATTCTTCAATTAATCTAAACCCATAATCTTAGTTTTAGCGCTCACTCCAGCATT